TGTGTGTGTGTTTCAGAGCAAACTCTATAGTCTGCCTGCCAGTCATGCCAGTCGAGTGTATGAGCTGCTCATCTCACACCTGCAGCTGCACTACAAGAACAAATACTGCAGCGCCATCAGCGGAGCCATACGCCTCAAGGTACACACACACACACACACACACACATCACACACCACATATGCACACACATCAATCTTGCTCACACACACATTGCACTCAAACACCATATACACATTCTCACACACACACTTACACACACACACTTACACACACACACCTCTCTATACCTTACGCATATCATACAAACTCATGCGCGCACACTTATAAATGCACTATATATATATATATATATACACATCACTTTGCACACACACGCCTCTGGTGGTTTGTATTAGAGTGTGTGTGTTCTCTGTTTGAGGTGTTTGATTTCCTGCTGCTGATGAGGGCTGATTCTCTACATCGTCTCGGGGTCCCCAATAAAGACGGAGCTCTGAGATTCAGCCCGTACTGCCACTGTGACCCAGGGTGAGAGAGAACACACACAGCCCTGCTCCTGCTTTTCACACACACCATTCCGGCTGTTTTTACACAATGCAATAATAATTTAAATAAGCTAATAAACTATATTTATATTATGTATGTTTTATTTATAACTTGTAATTAAGTTAAATAATTGTATTGCATTTTGTTCATAATTTATTTATGACTTAAAGTTTTTTTTGCTGCATTTTCCCCCAAAAAGTGAAAATTCCAATTACTGTGTTTAATGCATTTTAATTTACATTTCAATAATTTATATATAAATTAATTATAATCATTTTTATTTAAATTTAATTTATCATTAAATTTTGTTAACATATAAACTTTCAATTTATTTGCTGCATTTTTCCCCAAAAATGATGGAGAATATTCAAATTTCTGTTATAAATGCATTTTAATTCATAAATATGTATTAATTTTTATTTAAATAATATTTTATTATTAAATTTAATTCATATACAAACTTTTAAATAATTAATTGCTTCATTTCTCCCCCAATATAAATATATACATTACTAATTTTTATTTAAATGATATTGTATTATTTAATTTTATTTATATGCAAACTTATTTAAATTTGTTTGCTACGTTTTTTTTCCTCCAAAAAAGTTTAAGAATATTTAAATAACTGTTATAAGTGCATTTTATATTGAATTGTAATCATTTATAAATAATGTATTATTGAATTTTTATTCAATTAAACCCTGTAATTAAAATTTATTCATATATATATATATATATATATATATATATATATATATATATATATATATATATATCCTTTTTTATTTTAATGCAACATTTTTAAAACCCAAAATATTTAGAATATTCAAATTATTGTTATAAATGCATTTTAAATCACATTTAATAAAACGTTTTGATATAAGTTTAAAATAAATTAAGAAAGATTTATTGAAATGGTTTTAAAAATGTATAAATAATCAAGAATATTTAGACAGATTAAGTGTATACATTAAAATGGTAAAGATGTATTTATGTAATGTAGTATAACATCTAGGGGAGAGAGACTGACTGAACGTCTTTTCAATGGTCTCGTTTTCAGGGAGTCCGAGAAGAGAGTGTCAGAGAAGAAGCCGACAGGAAGTGTGTCTCCACCGGCAGGAAGTCCCACACCGGCAGCTCCGCCCTCCTCCATCCGCACCGCTTACCTGCCCTACAGTCTGGCTTTCAGTGTGCTGCTGCAGTGCCTCAAGACGGTACACACACACACTGTACCTGCCAAGACTTGTTTTTCCCGGCACCCTCCCATTTTGTTATTTCTTTTTGGAAAAACTCCCGTAATTTCACCCTATCCCCGGTCTTTAGCTTTTTGTTACAGTCTGTACCACCCCCGGGTCGTCAACTTTGGTATAGTATCAGATCGCAGCGGCCGCCCAAAACCAAGTCCACAGTACAGTTACTAAAACCACAGTACAGTTACTAACCCTGTTCTCAGCTGTGTTATTCAGGCAAACACACACCACATCCCCCCTCTACTCACACACACATAACATTGTAAATATGGTTTATGAGGACCAATATATCTTAAACTGTAAAAACCACTGATTATTTGGTCTTACCCCACCCCCATCACTAATCCCAACTCTCACATGTTAAGTTATGAATGTAAACAGACCTAATTAATATGATTTTTAAGTGTTTGCCATGTCCTCATAAACCACCTTAATAGAGTACAACTAGGTCAGACCCATGTCATTATACAATTTTGTGCCTTTATAAACCACATAAATCTACGTACACATGCATACAAACATACACACTTACCAGTACACAAACTTCAGGCTACACACACACACACAAAGCTTAGGCCGTGTTCCCTTTAAATGCACCACTGTTACTAACTAGAGAACAACCAGCTGTCTGTATCCACATGTATCCTCACATAAGCCTGCGCATGCTAGCAGCTCTGCGTGTTTGTGTTTCAGGAGACCGACTGGAAGGTCCTGAAGCTGGTTCTGGATAAGATGTCCTGCACCATCCAGTATAAAGTGCTGATCCTGACGTCTCCATGTAACATTGATAATCTGTGCGCAACGCTCTGCTCGATGGTACACACGCGCGCACCCACACATACACAAACAACAGAAACACACACAGTCACTGAGTTTAAAGGGGTTTGAAGCTTTACAAGATGTCAGATAAGATTGTGTGTCCTAAGAGTGTGTGTGTGGAAAGTTTGCGCTCAAAATATCACACAAATAAGGTTTTATAACTCTCTAACCTTTTTAGGCTTTAATCCATATTGTGTCATTTTGGTGACTGTCGCTTTAAATTCAAATGAGATTGTGCTCTTTTCAAAAGAGGGCGGAGCTACAATTTCCCTGCTTCTCACTCAGGGCTGCTGTTTATGCTAATGAGGGAGAGATGGTCACTAGTGGGCGGGACTTTCCCCCTCTGATGACACGTACAAATGGAGAATGTCAATCAAAATGTCATATTTATCAAGAGTGATTATAAACATAGAATTAATTATTTTTTCACAATTAAAAGCTTGCTTTTAACACACTGTTGCCTCACAACTGTGTTTAAACCCCTAATAAATGTGACTCTTTAATGAACTTCCTGTTCAGGTGACGGACCGCATTATTTTGGAGCGTCTGAAGAAAACCCCTGATGGATTTTCCCTCACTGACGTTCAGCTCGCTGTGGTTCCTGTTCTCACGGCCATCACGTCCTACCACAGCTATCTGGATCAGCTCCGACAGGTAACGCTAGCTGTCTACGTAAAGATGGTGTTATTAAATGTTGTTATTAAAAAAAAAAACACCTAATTGTTGGCGCCAATGGTGTAGTGGTTGGAGTGTTGACACGTGCACACAGCGACCTGAGTTTGATTCCCGCCTCAAGGTCCTATGCTGATCCTCTCTGCTCCTTATGCTTTCTTATAAATACTCCAATCTGTCCTATCGAAAGGTAATATTTTCCTTTGGCTTAGTCCCTTTATTAATCAGTGGTCGCCACAGCAGAATGAAACACCAACCAGCATATGTTTCACACAGCGGATACCCTTCCAGCTGCAACCAGTACTGGGAAACACCCCATACTCACTCATTCACACACACTACGGCCAATTTGGTTTATTCAATTCACCTATAGCGCATGTGTTTGGACTGTGGGGGAAACCGGAGCAACCGGAGGAAATTTTATGTAAATTGATTTAAAATCGAATAAAAAATTTAATTGAATAAAAAAAAAAAGTATTCAATAAACTTTTAACCGTCAGAGGGAATTTTTAAGGATTAAATGATGTAAACGTAAATAAAATATACATTTTAATTAAAAACTGCAACTCTAGATTGCAAGGAAATGTTAATTGACAATAATTATAAATAAATATAAACGTATTATTACATTTAAATTAAACCTTCAAATCACAGTTAATGATATAGGCTGCGTCCGAAACTGCCTACTACTCAGTATGTACTGCATTTGAATTTAAACGTAATACTCAGCCATCAGAAAAGTACGTCCTATACAGTATGAATGTGATAAGTATGAATGGAATACGGATGTACTATATCCGCCATTTTGTCATGGTCACATGACCTATCTGAGTCAGTTCACTCCCATTGATGAATTCTCTTGCAGGGCATCATAGGATGCGCACTTCAGCATTTTGCTGGAAGTAGTAAGTCATCCGGGTACTTCTCGCATAATGATTTTCGAATTCTATGAATTCGGACATACCACTCGGCTCGCATACGGATTTTAGTGTACTATTTAGTGTGGAAGTATGCGATTTCGGACGCATTGAAATCATATATATTATATTTCAATGAAATATAAATGTGAGTATATATATGAATATATATATGAATATAAATATATGAATATAAATGTGAGTATATGTATGTATATATATATATATATATATATATATATATATATATATATATATATATATATATATATATATATATATATATATATATATATATATATATATATATATATATATATATATATATATACATATATATATATATATATATATATATATATATATATATATATATATATATATATACACACACACCCATACACACACACAAACACACACGCACAACATAATGCTTATTCCAAATTATTTACCTTATAAATGAATTTTAAATACTATAAATGACTGTAGTATTTTAAATGTGTAACACCTGGTTTTATTTGATTTTTTGTTTTTGCTGTTATATACTATAATGTGTTTCTGTTTAGTACAGTATATTATTTACAGTAAATAACTGAACTAAACTATTTTGCCTTATGTTTTATTGAGTTTTATTAATCACTAAGATATGATTGAGTTGGATTTAAGTTGCTTCGATTTAAAAATGAAAATTGTAAAAATAGCTTAGATGTAGCTAAGCTACTTTTGCCATGTAGCTTTTAGCTTAGCTTGCTACATTTTCCAGGGGGTGACCTTTATTGTTATTAAGCTACATTTTAAGTAGAGTAGCTAATAGCTTAGTTCACTCCATATTTTAAATAGCTTTAAACCACCGCAGGGAAATGTCAAAGCTTTTTTATTCCTGGTTTTAATATTGTGTGCAAAAGTACCACAACAGACAGTTTTTGTTTGCTGTAAGGAATCATTTTAGAATCCAGGATAGCGAAAGTGTCACGAATGGATGACGTCAAACTTCAGGTAACTTTACTTTCGTGTTTGGCGCGTCCTCATTGTTATTCAGTCTGACATTATGACAGCTGAGATCTTACGTTGTGACATGGGAGACATGTTCGTGCAGTCTGACATGCTACGATCATTTAGGATTTTTTTTTTAATTATGCTACGATCATTCAGGATAATTTAAAAAAAAATTACAGTAATAAAAATGTATTAATTTAAATAAATAAATAATCACACAGTGCCACGCTTTATCCAATAAAAAGTTCATTCACTCATTTGTGCACATTTTTTTTTCATGTGCATTTTCACAATGTATGCACATCTTAGCGTTAACCATATGCTTTTTAACGCAATATTGCAAAATAAAAATCAGTGAAAGGAAACATAGCTAAAGTTAGACAAACCCACCAGACGAAGTAGAGGAGAGGGCGATCTCTCACCTTGGTGATGTACTGAACAAAATCTTTCCTGAAAGGCAGTCGGCAGCGGATGAACCACATGGCGATCACATGATGAGCCAGAGACACTATGTACTGATTAAACCTGCAGAGAGAACAAAAAAAAAAAACACATGGTTCAATAACAGAGAGAGAGAGAGAAAGAGATCATCCTCTAAACACACTGGTATCTGAGCTACTGGAAAAAGCACAAACCGAACCCGTCCCCAAACAAAACCTTCACAAACAAATTGACAAAACATTAAAATATAACTATGATGAAAAACTGAAAACTGAACTCAACCTCCAGACTAAACTTAAATGTTATTCGGCCCTAAATAGAACCACACAGTTGGCAAATTATTTATCATTAAAACAATTAAAAGAAAAGCACATTCTTTCTAAATATCGCCTCTGTGATCATGACCTAGAAATAGCAAAAGGCAGACATAAAAAATCCTGGACTCCTGAGGAAAAGAGAACATGTAAACAGTGTGACACAAACCAAATAGAGGATGAGACACACTTCCTTCTGTTCTGCCCCAAATACACCACGACTAGAGAAATATTTTTCCCCCAATTTGAAACATTGATCAGTTCATTTTTTAATTTAAATGACTCAGAAAAACTTTACCATATACTCGGAGAGGATGAATTGACATTTGAACTGGCTGCAAAATATGTATATACCCTACACACCATAAGAAATGGTTAATGTAAATTTGTGTCTTATTTAAATAATTTAAACTTTTTACAATCATTATTATTATATTTATCAAATGTATTGTATTTTTTTTTGTGTGTGTGTGTCATTATATCTTATCTGTATTACTATTAGTTATTATTTTTCAATGGTTTTAATATGTTTCATATTTGAAATGCTTTGGCAATACTGTATTTAATGTCATGCCAATAAAGCAACTTGAACTGAACTGAACTGAAAACTGAGAGAGAGAGAGAGAGAGAGAGAGAGAGAGAGAAATAGATAGATAGATAGATAGATAGATAGATAGATAGATAGATAGATAGATAGATAGATAGATAGATAGATAGATATTTTATGTATCTTATTTAAATAATCTAGATTTTTATTATTATTATATATTTATCAAATATATTATCTGTTTGTTTGTTTGTTTTTTTGTCATTTATGTCTTACTGTATTATTATAATTTTAATTTTAATTATAATTTTAAAA